AACAAGATAAAAAGAGAAATTGTCAATTCTATTACTTATTGGAAAAGATACACGCTTGTGCTTAGCAAGTTCACACACCTCACAATGAAGACTCTCAACATCTAACTTAGTAAACAGAGAGGGATGTCCCAACTGACAATGATAAAGCATGATTTTTTCTCTGTTGGTCATCAATGATTCAGATATGAAGGAGTGAGAGATTCTGTTTTTACTGGACAAACTTGGATTTTCGAGATAATAAAGGTCATTCCATTCTCTAGCATGTCCAATCATCCTCCTCGAATCCTTGTACTGAAATACACAATGATCGTTGAAAAAAACAACTTTACATGACAAATCCTTTATAAGTTTTTGTATAGACATTAGGTTGGTGGACAACTTTGGGACATGGAGAACATCTTTTAAGGTTATTAAAGGATTGATTTGGATATTTCCTTGACCAACTACAGTTATAAGAGTTCCATCTGCTGTGACAATTTTTGTGGCAATTTTTTTGTTGCTGGGACATGGGGAATATGTGGAGAAGTATTTGGCTAATGGTGTCATGTGATTTGTGGCTCTAGAGTCCAATATCCAATAATGGTTAAAAGGTGTATCTGAGACATTTAATCCAAAAGAAAGTGGAAACTTACCTGAGTATGCCAAAGAACACACACCTGTAGGTTTTTCCAGCTTACTAAGAAAAGTTCTCAACCTTTTTATCTCCTCTTGGTTAAGATGGGCAGCAGCTTCTGGATTATTTCCTTCATTTGTTTCAGCAACAACATAAACTTGTCCTCCTTTCCTTAAGGAGCCTCCTCTATGTCCCCCTTCTCGATCTCGATTCAAAGGCTTTCCATGTAACTTCTAGCACTTCTCTCGAGTATGATGAGGCTTATTGCAGTAGGTACACCAGAGATCATCACCTTTCTTCTCCACATTTGCTGATCCTCTTTTCTTCTGTTCGGCTACCCCCTTTCTATTCAACACTGTACGAACAAGTTGGGTCCACTTCAAATAATTTCTTCCATTTAGTCTATATGCAGAATGGATATTCTACCGTTCTCCATATTGTTGGGATTGGATATTCCCCGTTTCTGGGGTTGGGTTCACAACTTCCTCTTCCCTTGACATTATAGCAAGAAGGTGCGATGCAACAATGCAGGTTATCGTCTTAGGGTTAAGAAAAATGTAGCAACAATGTAGGTTGTCGTCTTAGGATTAAGAAAAATACAGCAGCAATACAGGCTGCCATCTTAGGGTTTATAGTGTGCAGACAGAACTTCCTAGATCAGAAGCTCTGATACCATCTGGAAAGTTAGATTAAATGAAATCTTATTTTATTCTTTTGATACAAAGAGATCATACAAGATATACACAGGAGACCTAAGCTATTTTAGGAAATATAATAACTCTACTTTATTCTAGGATCCCTTGATTTATGGGATTGTTCCTAATTGTTCAAATTTGTACAGATTACAAATTTCCTAATTTATTTTTTCCTAAAATACTATTTGATTTCCCACATGAATAAAGCAAATACATCCAAATACCAAAGGAGAAACATAAAAAAATGGTTCTTTTGGGAATAGAATAGAGTGTGGAACTTTATTGTCAAGAGAAAAAGATGACATTCTATTAATGAGAAAGCATGCAGTTAGAATAACATCTCCCCAATGATGAATAGGCATATTGGCACTAAGCAATAAGGTATGAGCAGTTTCAACCAAATGTCTATTTTTGCGTTCTGCTATACCATTTTGTTGTGGTGTGTGAGGACAAGTAGACTGGTATAAAATGCCTTGAGAACTTAGGAGGTCAGAGAAATCATTAGAAAAATATTATTTGGCATTATCACTTCGTAAAACTTTGATTACTTTTCCAAATTGAGTTTTGATTTTATTAAGGAAAGACTTAAAGATAGGCAATAGTTCTGAGCGATTTTTCATTAGATAAACCCAAGTACATCCAGAAAACCCGCCAATAAAAATAACAAAATATCTAAAGCCAAAAGATGAAACACGACTAGGTCCCCAGATATATGAATAAACAATACTAAAAGCAGAATCACATCTAGATTCTGAATGATTTGGAAAAGATGACATGGTATGTTTCCCTAGTTGACATGATTCACATTAAAAAATTTGAAGGTTCCGAAGTTCAAGAACCATTTTTTTTTAGTTTTGCCAAATGAGGATGCCCTAATCGTTCATATAACAATTTTGGGGATAAGGATGCAATACAAGATATAGATGAATTAGTCCCAAGGTAGTATAAGCCTCCAAATTCATGTCCTTCTCCAATCAGTTGACCCATACCATGTTCCTGTATAACAAAATAATTGGCATTAAAGGTTATTGAGCAATTCAATGATTTGGTTAATTGGCTTACAGAAACAAGACTGAATGGAAAAGAAGGAACACAAAGAACATTTTGTAAGTTTAAAGAAGGAGAGATGGATACTTAACCAATTCCTTTAGAGGCTACTTTAGATCCATTGGCTAAAGATATGAGATGGGAGGTTTTAGAAAATGATAGAGAGGAGAATAAAGAGGTATTATCAGACATGTGGTCAGAAGCACTTGAGTCAATAATTTACAGATTTTGACTTTCCACAGATTGCGAAATGCAAGCGGTTGACGAATTTGGAGTTGTAGATGCTTGAGGCAGACTAGTTGATTTCATCCTTAAATATTCTTGATACTCTTCATGAGAGAACTTGAGCTCAACAACTTCAGATTTTGAAGTATTAGCTATCTTAAGGATAGTCATATAGAGCAAAGCAATTTTTCTTAGTATGACCCATTCTTTTCAATGAGTGCACTGAGGACGTCCTCTATCACCACGTCCTTTATGCCGTGATTACCTCTTCCACAAGCAGAAATCATGGCAGAAGATTCAACAAGTTCTTAACTATTTTTACCTTTGATAGATGGAACACGAAGTAGCCTTGTGATCAAATTCTCCATAGACGGAACTTCTTGTCCAGTTAAAATTTGATCTCTAACATGATTAAATTCTGGATTCATAGCCCTAAGAATTATAACCATATAGAATTTATCCAGCTTCGTCTTTTTCTCCTCTAATGAATCTGCCTCAAGGAACATTTTTAATTCTTCAAATGCTGATTGAGCTTCAGCAACAAAGGACATCATATTATTATCCTCTTGCTTAAGGGAGGCTAGTCTATTAGCAGAATCATAGAGCCGTTGAATATCATTAGCAAAGATATTTTGGGCCTTTTTCTAGAAGGAATTACATGTCTTGAAGGATCGGAGAGTGCTCAAAATATTTGGTTCAACTGATTGTCATAATAGAACACAGAGTTGATAATCAAGTTTCTTCTATTGTGGAGCCTGATCTGCTGGTTTTGTACTTCGTCTTCGAGATGATCATGAACACCTTGTCCTAGAAACCAAAGTTCAACAAAGGAGGCCCAAGACAAGTAATTTTTTCCATTTAATTTTTCTGTTATTATAGTAGGAGTCCCAGAAAAAGATACAGATGTTGCAGGTCCTAACATTTTTATTCAAGAAACAAGAGAGGACTCTTAAGAAAAAAAATATCCAGCAGGATGTTTGGAGAGAGAAGATTGAGAGCAATGAGAGAGTACTAAGAAATAGTGTCGCTTTGCTTGAACACAGAACAACTAGCGTTTTGTGACAGTGTATACGAAAAGGTTTACCAAACTTTTGGAAGATAAAACAAAGGGTAGATCTGGCTTCAGGACGCCGAGGCGAGCCAGACGGTAGTGGTCTGGAGCAAAACGGCCATCGGGAAGGCAGTGTGTAAACCACACGCATGGAGGAAGCAGTGGACGAAGGTAGGGCGTCTAACAAAGATGGCTGAAGCAACTACCGAGGTTGGGTCACGCTTCTCGAGGCGATTCTAACCCAAGTACGATGAGTGAAACAGCACTGACGGCGAACGACAGTGGACGTTGGAAAAAATGGAGAGACAGACAGAGCGGGACGAACCCACTCTGATACCAACTTGAAATAGATAATAGGAAAATAAAAAGATGTTTTTGAGAGTCTATCCTTTTCTCTTGTATTCTCTTATTTATAGGGGATAAATATACAAATTATGAGATACAATAAATAGGGAAAAATTATAAAACCTAGAGAAGATAATAGATACATTCTAGGAACTGGGTCAATAGTTAGATACAACTAATCTAATAAATACTCAACACAAGTATTGGGAAAGTTTTTTTTCTTTTTTTCAATTTCAGTTGTTTTGAGGAAAAATAACCTATTTATAAAACATGCAAGATGTTTGAGCTATCAAGGATTTAGTAAAGGTTTTATTATGAAAATAAGTTGTTTTCATGAATCTAAACATTTGTAACTTATGATTATTTCTCAACAACTTTTTTCCTTTCAGCTTCATATAAACTATTTTTCTTATGTAAAAGTTGATTTTTTTACATCAAAACAAAATTAAATATCTTAAAATAATTTTCAGTAAATTTATGCAAACAAAACTGATTTGAATTATAAATTATTATAACAATAATTGATTGTGCAAATAATCAGTTGTCCCAAACACACCATCCCACCAGAAAAGCCAGATCACTACTAGTTAAGGAGTAATACAGTTCAGTACAGCTCTAGAAACTTTTGTCCTAACAGCATGATTACGATCAATTAAGGCACTGAACAAATTTCTGCTTTAGTCAGTGAAAACTTCAATCAAAGATAAAGTGAAAAAAAGAATCATGGGCCTCTTGAAAAATGTCCAAACTTTATCAACAAAAGTATGGTGACATTCAAAAATTTGAATCTCAAAGCTACAATTGTCCAAAGAAGTCAATGTTATATTTCATAGCCAAACCATTCCCCTTCATTCATAACTAACAAATAAGAGGCGAAAGATTCTCTCATAAATTCACAACCCATGATGCATGCAAGAGTAAGTAAATTGTTACTCCTAGAAAATTTAATCTTTCAATTATATTTAATTTTTAAGTTCCAAAACTTTCAGTTATATTTAACATTATAAACAAAAGAATATCAAACCTTTCCTAAGATCTCGAGGTCTTATGCCACTAATTTTAGTGCGGAAGTCAACAACCCGTTCAATTGGCCGAACAAACTCATCATAAATAACATTTCCCCACTTATTGACCTGCCATCAACTGAACCAATATTAGAAATAAAAGACTGAAAAAGGAATGGGGAGATAAACATATTGGTAATTGTAAAAATTAAATTTGCCAAAGAAAGTTGGAAATTAATGTTTGGTCATCTAGTATTTGGTTCAGCGTTATCGATGTAGGTGGGAGAATATGGCGGAAGGCCAAAATTCTGCTATATAATTATGTCATTGTTGCTTATGGCGTCACCATAGCAGATCTCCCTTCACAACAAAATCTGACATGCCATTCATCCATGGCAACCATGGCACCACCATTGAACTGCATTGGTCGGGTTTTACTGTTAAATGTGAAATTATAATTCCACTCTTTGGGAGCAGTACAGTCTTAAAGTTATGATTTATTACATATTAGAGTTAGGATTGATTTGGCTTCAAATATATACAGGATGTAATGTTCTTTCAATCTTATTTTTTATATAGGAAAGTAGCCCCCCCACAAAATTTCACATAATATTTTTTAACGTTATCAAGCATGGGTTCTGCATTGCATGGATATTAATAGTGGGATTTCATTCAACTAATTCCTAGCTAACACTTGCACAGTTGCACTTAAACATGTTCATACATGGTGATAAAATACAAGAAACAAGATTTTATGGTTCAATATAGTAGACAAGAGACTCAAAGAAAGTCTGGGAGAAGACAGTCAATGATGAAATATGTCCAAATAACGTCTAATCTTGTTTTTATTGGGTCTTTCTCAAAGTGTGGCCCTGCCCACACCCTTTGGGGGTGAGACTAATTTCCACTTAACGTCCACTCATGTGGAGCTCACACCAATTGAGTAACACCTCATGATTAAACAACAGACAACCCAAGTATATCATGTTAGTATACAAAACCATGAGCATTGTGTTGGGAATGAAAAAGTAAGATGCAACACTAATCCAAACATAAATTGGAATACGATGAAATGGAAACAAATTGTACGTTTCTAGTATTCACCAATCGGACATTCTTTGTACTTTGAAGTGATGGGGAAGAAAAATCTAAAGATATAATCAGAAGATGGAGAAGAACAAATTAATACCAGCGTTACTCTTCCAAGAGCACTTTTGTTTCCTTGACCAACACCAACCATTTCACAATCCATGGCGACTGCATCTGTCAGACTGCGAAATGGTTATCTAGTTAAAATGAGCAGAAAACTTCAAAATAACATAGCACGCGTAAATAAAATCAACAATTCGATACAAGAAAAAGAAGTTCTGACTCAATAATGATGAATTATTACACTCTTGTTCAGTTATTCGTATAGATGCAGCTCAAATTCTCTCTCTCTCTCTCTCTCTCTCTCACCACACACAATATAAGACAATACCTCATCCCTAAACTACAAAGTAACGCAAAAAATTCGCTGTGGTCACCTTGAATCATCATTTACAGGAGTAAGAGGATTAATCTGACAATCATTGGATTCATCATCTGGTCTGTCTTTACGTTTCCCTGTAAAGAGAAAACCAAAATGTCACACGACTACACAATATTTTCAAGGGTTCACGGGTTATATCCACCAGACCAATCAATGCACCCCCAGAAGCAAAAATCATTTTTTTTACCCAATAATGATTCTCGGGTATCTTCATCTGAACTTTTGAAGCTCCTTGAAGCCTTGGAGTTATTCAGCTTCTGCACAATGACAAACACCAATAAATTGATGTAGAAATACGAGTGTGTCGAATAGAAGGTAGAAAGAAGAAGAATAGAGAACACACTTGTTGGAGTTGACTCCAATTGGGATTCAACTGAGTTTGCTTCGGTTTCTTCATGTGTTTGTCGCAGGTGTGCGTCTTCTGCGCACTTCACAATCAGGGTTCCAGCGTTCAAAGTTTCAAAAGTTGAAACATACACCCATCGGCGTCGTTGTGTTTTTAAATATTTACAAATATAATCCATCCCTTTAAAGCGAATATATATTTATAAATATTTAACTAAATACTTATGATTAGTTGGTCATGTTCAAGCATGAAAAATATAAATGTTTTCTAATACTAATTAATGCTTGTTAGAGAAAAACGAAAATACACATTATAGCGAAAATACATATTATATTATAGTGTATTAACCTAATACGTATTAAATATTATTTTTAAGTTATCAGTGATAATATCATTTTCTTCTAATACTTTACTTTTTTAGAAGTATCATCTGTTTTTCTTATATTTTTTTTAAGGAATATTTAAACATTTATTTTGTGTATATTTTATTGATAATCGATTTTAATTATTGGGTTAAATATATTCTTTATTTTTGTATTCGAAATTTTAAAAATTGGTTTCCATCTTTATATTTTAAAATTTAATAAATTAGTCCATAATATATATATATAGTCATTTTATTAATTTTACAACAAAAACAATATTATTAAATATTAAATTTAATTATAAAAAAATTATAAAAATCACATTTTATTTTTTTATCAAATTTATTGATATTAAAAATCATAATTAAGTCTAAATTCACATATAAAAACTATTAAAATCATATAGTTTGAAAAATTAAATAATCAAATTGATTATTGAAAAATATAAAAAATATATAATTTCTTTAAAAATATGAAGATTAATAATATTTTTTCTTTACTTATTTTATGATATGATAAATCAAATATTTATCTTTTACTTTTTATTTAGTTAAAATAATATTTTTAGACTAAAATATTTGTTTATCCTTTATACTTTTATTACAATTCTTTTGATTATGTTTTTTATCTTAAAATTATTTTAATTAATTTTTGTCATTTTTATTAAATTATTAATTTAATTATATTTTAAGATATAATTTTTTTTTAATTTTGATAAAAGTAAAATATAAGATAAATATTTATATATTTATAAATATAAATATATGAACTTTATAAGTTTACATGATTTTCAAATGAATAATAATTATTAAAATTGATAAGTATTTATCTTTTAAAATTGATTGATTTATCAATTATACTTGTTTGTGTCTAGCTCCTCTATCTATTTAGGTTGATATTTTTAGTTGTAAAATGCACAAGAGATAAAGGTAAGGAAGTGAAAATAATTATCATGTAAAATAGTATAATCTCAACATAATATATAAAATAAATTTCTCATTTCATCAACATACTCCATTTATTCTATATTACTGAATATTTGACTTTATTTTTGTAGTGACTAATTAGGATAAATGAACCAAACATTAATCTTTTTTTAAGTGATATTTACTTATTTTAATTCTCAAGTTCAACCTCCATCTACAATGTCATCAAATCTTTATAAATAAATATTATTATTTAAAAATAATTAAATAATATAAATATAAATTAATAAACAAATATCAATGCGTGAATAAAGATAAATATAAATATAAAAGAAGATTAGTGTGTAATTAGATATAAATAAATAAATAAATCAGAGGATCAATATGTAGATAAATAAATATAAAATATGATTAGTACGTAACTAGAGTTAAATAAATAAATAAATATAAAATAAGACAAATGCATAATTAGAAATAAATAAATGTAAAACATGATCAATATAAAAGTGGAGATAAATAAAATATGATCAATATATCACTAAATGTAAACATGACCAATGCGCAATTGAATGTAAATAAATAAATATAAAAAAGATAGTAACTAAAGATAAAATAAATAGAATAAAGTTAGATATATCTTACTCAACAACCATAAATAAATAAACATAATAATAAATGTCTCTTTCTCCTACTTTAATAATTACAAATAATACACTAAAATCTTCCCAAAATTATTTATATATTTTCTTCCTCTTTTTCTTCTTCTTTCTCTTTCTTGTACTCTCTTCTTTCCATTTCCCTTTCTCTCCCTTTTCTCTTTTATTCATCCCATAACCTTTATTTATAACCATAATTATATTTTTATTTTGTTTTTTCTTTTCACTTTCATTTAATGAAAGGGATGATTACAAGTTTTTTTTTTATGATTATCTCTTAAAAAGATAAGAAATCTTATCTCTCTTATTTATTTTTATTTTTTTCATTCATTTTCTTATAATAAGTAATTAACTAATTTTATTTTAATAATTAATAATTATTTTTTAAAATAATTTAAATTATGATTATTATTTTAATAAAATACTTTTTAATAATAATTTAATAATAATATTTTTATTTCTATTTTTTTATAAATGGGTCTTTTATTATAAAATTATTTAAATTACTCAAAATATTATAATTAGTACATTATATTTGAAAAATTTTAGAGAATAAATTTTAAGATGTTACATTTCCTCAATATTTACGTAAATCCAGTCCTTGAAAATTTTATTGACTAGTACAAATGAGGTTAACTTTCTCTAATTTTCTTTTTTAATTCTCATTTAGCATCTCTAGTGATTTCATTCAAAACAACCTTCATTAATGGAATTTGCCTACTTCTCAACTGTTTGATCTTCTTGTTGGTAATTTGTACAGGCATTATTTCAAATATAAGGTTATCTTATAATTGTATTGTATCCGACATTATTACATGAGAATGATCGAAAATATATTTTCTTAACTAAGACACATGAAACACAGTATGAAGATTAGAAAGAAAATGAGGTAAAGAAATTTGATAAGCAACTATACCTATCTTTTTGAGAATTTGATAAGGGAGTGAGTTTCTTTGATTTCATCACTCTAGCAAATCTAGTTGGAGGTATTACTTTCAAGAATACATGATCACCTTCTTGAAATTTAGGTGGTCATCTTTTCTTGTCAGCATAATTCTCCTATCTACTTTGAGTTGTTTACAATTTTTCCCTAATCATTTTGATTTTTTTTCGTGGTTTGTTGAAGTTAAGTTAGGACCTAAGATTAAATTGTATCCCGTCTCAAACCAACATAAATGTGTTATACATTTTCTCCCATATAATGTCTCATAGGGTGTCATGTCTATGCTAGAAACAAAGTTGTTGTTAGTGAATTCAATCAATGGTAAATATCGATCTCAACTTCCAAAATCCTCTAACACTCATGCTCTCAATAAATCTTCCAAGGACTATATGGTTCTTTCTAACTGTACATCAATTTGAGGATGATAAACTAAGTTAAGCTAACATGAAGTTTAGTCCTTAAGGCTTTATGTAAACTCTCCCAGAATTTAGAAGTAAACCTAGGATCCTTACTACTACAAGTTATAATACTAGATGGAACTCCATGTAACCTCACACTTTCTCTTATGTATAATTTGGTCAATTTCTTCAATGAATAACTAATATTAATGGGTAATAAGTGAGTAGACATTGTCAACCTATCAACGATAACCCATTTTGAATTGTTCATGGTAAGTCAACTACACAGTTTATCACTATATTATCTCATTTCCACTCAATTATGTTTAAAGATTGTAGTTTTTGGTGTTTTATCTTAGCTTTCTGACAAACTAAGCATGTTGCTACATATTGTGTTATTTCCTTCTTCATTTTAGGCCACTAAAACATTTTTTTAAGATCTTGATACATTTTTATTGTGCCTAGATGTATGCTCAATTTGCTCTTATGTACTTCTTATAAAATAAACTTCTTAATATATACATTATTAGGCATATACATATCTTATCATTAAATTTCAAAATTCCTGCCATATCTATGCCAAAATTTTCTTCATTCTATTGTCCTATTAACTTCTTTTTCTTTTGAATGAATTCATAATTTACCTGAGCCTCATGGATTTTCCTTTGTAAAACATTAGTAATCTAAATTGAATTTAATTTAATTTCATTAACCAAACAATGACATAATAACTCGGTCATTTGACCTACCTAGGCCTCATCATTCGTGACTTTAGGCTGAGGGGCTATGTGGTGTCTGAATAAAAGGTCTCACCCTGTACCCGAACAACAACATAATAACACAGTCATTTGACTTATTTTAAGCCTCAACATTTATGACTTGAGGCTAGGGGGTTGTGTAGTTTTCAATTAAATTATCTCGTTGTGTGACCAATCCAACGGTTCGGTCATAACGCAATCTTCTCTCTTAGGGGTGCGATTCCACAAATCTCAACCAAAATTATGATTTATCACCATAAATCCCACATAGCAAGAATCAAGTTATTTAATAGATATAATAACAAAATATTGGCCTTGACCCAAATATCATGGATCTAAAGCAGAACAACTCATTAAAAGGGACTTAGGGTTAGGTTACAACCAAGTCCACTGAACAAGAAATATAGTTGATCAAAATATAGGGATTTTTGGGCAACAACAACTTCGTATTAATCAATTAGCTCTAAACTAACATGAAAGGGTGTAGTTGCCATAACTCGTCTTACATATGAAATATGTTGCCTTACTAGCCTAACAAGAGGCTAGAGCGAAAAGAACATAGTTATTACAACACATTGTCATCAAACATAACTATTACTGTTAGAATCGCGCAGCGGAATGTTCGCGTGGTCGGACAAAAACCAAGAGGGGGGGGTGAATTGGTTTCTTAATAAAAATTAGGTTTTCAAAATTTTCCCCAAATTTTACCAATTAAAAACTGTGTAAATGTAAATAGAGAAAGGGATAGAGTCTTACACAGGAAATTTATACTGGTTCGGATCAAAAGACCCTACGTCCAGTTGCTAATCACTCAAACAGAGGATTAACGCTGTCACTATAAACAAATTGTTACAATACAAATTACAATGGAAGAGATAAAGTAAAAGATAACACCTCTCTTGAAACCCATAAGAGATGAAGAACAGCTTTCCCCAAAGACGGCACAACACACAATCCACTAAGAACTCCACTTAGTGATTCTTATCGCTTCTAGCCCACACCAGG